GTACTTGAGTGGAGGCCCAATGTCCATCTGCTACATAATACTAAACCTATAAATATATTCATTTAGATCTATTTCCCAATCATCATAAGTATATTTATATATGTACATGCCTGTATTTAGACGTCCATAAATGCCCTTTGCCTCCTAGCACTTTCCTGTATTTCCTTTTACTTTCATCTTGTCTCACTATCATGCTCTGCCTTCATTTGGGTTTTTGCATTTTCTCTTGGTTTCATTGTCCTTGATCAAGCCCTACCAGGCTTCCTACACCCTCCTAGCCATCCATTTTGGATCACTTGTTCCCTTGTCCTTGGGCTTAATAACACCACTTCCTTTCCCCCATTTCCCATGTCCTCTGGGAACCATTGGTCCCATTGTTTTCTCCTCCAGGTTGTTTATCCAGCCTGTCTTATCTAGATGACCTGCAGAGATAATATGCATAAAAACAAGACAGCAAAACAAAACAACAACAAAAAACCCAATGGTTTGAAAAAGAAAAGAAAAGCCTGTAAATAGTTCAAGGTCTGTTTGTTGACCTTGAGGAGTGTTTTCCGGTCTGATGGGGTGCCATGCGTGGCCCCAAAGTCTATTTTTGGTACTCCCTCAGGACTTCCTTGCTCTGTTCCACTTGCTGTTCTGTTACACGCCCATTAGTTTCTCTTGCATGCCTATTTTTTGCCTTGGTGTGGTGGGGTACATATTTGATTTTTTTATATAACTAAATTTCTATGGGTTTGTAGCTATATATATATGTTTCACTTACCCTCATATTGATGTCTCAACTGTTACCTAAGAGATTTGATTTAATTGATTTTAGGTTAAAAGGTACTTAAGCAGTTCTGATTAGAGGGTAAATTTGAGACTCATGGCATAATAGTTTGAAATTTGTGTAATATTTGAATTTTTAAAAGATACCACAGTGTTTTTTTAATTACATCTTATCAGAATGATGTAGGCCCTGCCTACATAACAGAACATTCTTTTCTGAGTGCAGTTCCAAATTTTGTATTGCTATTTTTTAAAATTCCATTTAAGTCTGATTGACTATTTTTGGGATACTTAGCTTTTGTAAAGAACTCTACTGGAAGTAGAGATTTGAGTGTAAGTAAAGTATAGCATGATGGATATCGCAAATTTATTGTTTGTCAAAGTGTATTTTAATTTAGTCATATTTTTAATCTTAAAATGTAAGAAATAATACTTTGGAGGGTTATGATGTTTCAAGGAGTTATTTGTCTTGATAACAATTACTACTACTACTACTATATGTATAATACCTAGATGTGAAGTTACTGTTGGGGGCCATAATTCTGTTCAACTTTTTGAGGAACCATCACAATTTTCCACAGTGGTTGTATCATTTTAGAATCTCTGCAGAAGTCTTTAAGGGACCTAATCTTTCTACATCTTCCCCAGAGCTTTCCACCTTTAATAGATGTCCTATTGTGTCGGAAGGTTGCTTTCTTGGGAATATGTTGGACTGCTGATAGGAAGTTTAGAGTTCAAACTCACAAACGCCTCTGAGGCAGAGAGATGAGGGTGTTTGTTTCCATAAAGATTATAGCCTTAGGAGCTGTATGGAGTTTTTACCAATGCAATTTTGGTGGGATCACCACTGTGTTGACAAGTGTAATAGGAGTTTCTTAAAATAATCAAATTCAATACCATCAGCTAATTAAAACTTGTAACAGCCGTATGGGACAGGGTAGCCAAAGTGTCCCTTTGGGTTTACAAGAATTTAATTTTTACAGAAGCCTCGGCAGAAAACACAATAACAGGAAAATAAGAACAGCCAATAGTTGTGTCATTCCAATCATTTAAATATATTTTCTACTACTTTTTAGCTTAACATATACTTAAATATTTTTGTGAGGTATAGTAGACAATTTATAGCAGCTGAGATGCTTATGGTCTACATCACTGTGCAGACCCGTGTTTGTTTATTTATTGTATTGTGATGCCCCTCTTGATGATACGGCAACAATTGGTGGTAACAAAAATACTAATTTTTTAAATAAATGATGCTCACAACCGTATTCAGCCTTTCAAGAATTCTCTCACAGAACACTGACTTTGTGCTGGGGGCTGCGAGTGGGGGTCTCTGATGACCATAGTGTGTTGGATGTGATTTCCCATTATTCTAAATGGTGATGAGGCGTGGCCCTTTGGTGTACCTATGCTGGTGCCTCTTCCAAGGCATGAATTTGGGCTCTGCATGTGCTACTTCAAAGTGTTGTAGTTAATTTAGATACTTTAAATGAAAATGAGCTAATAGAGTTAATCGTTTATTCTACTTTCAGAGTGTGACATGAACTTTGTATGTTAAAATCTATTTACCAACCTAGGTTGAATCAGTATTCTCTTTAGTACACATAAGCATTCACAGAAAGGTAGTAATTTGATTAGCCATTAAAATTATTAATAAAGATGAATATGAACAACTTAATGAATTCCCAGCATAGAAATATATATGTTCATAGGTATAAAAAGACAGAAAGGGAAACTGAAAATATTAACATGTAATCAATATCTTATAGATCTCATGAGGCGTCAGGAAGAACTTAGACGTTTGGAAGAACTCAGAAACCAAGAACTGCAAAAACGAAAACAAATACAACTAAGGTAAAAAATAGAATTGTAAAAAATGAAATGTACGTATATATTATAAAGAAGGTATAAAAGGTGAGCACATTATTCAGTAATTCATTAGTTTTTATTTTTAATCATTTTGTTGATTAGGACATTTTTATAACTGAGACAAGGTTGTAGGCCTGCATTTAACATAAAACTGTGTTAAAACTCAGTGAAATTTCCAGAGCATAGTTTCCCGTGTCATAGCAACACACAAGCGACCTAGTGCCACAAACTAATAATCATAGATGGAGAAAATATTGAAGTTGCCAAGGATTTTACTTGGATTCACAATCAACTCTGAGGACGTACAGAAGACGTCTTTAAAGTATTGAAGAGCCAAGAGGTCACTTTGAGGATGAACATGGGCCTCACGAGGCCTTGGTGCTTTCAATGGCTTTATTTGCGTGAGAAAGCTGGATAATGACTAAGGAAGATTGGAGGATAATTGATGCATGTCAGTTTTGGTGTTGGTGATGAATACTTAAAAGAGTTTTCCTTAGCTTGAAGAACAAACAAATCTGTGTTAGTGAAGTATGTTCCAGAAGTTGAAGAATGGAAGTGTTATTACAAGAGACCAGTCCGTAGAAAAGGACATCGCATTTGGCAAAGCAGAGTGAGCGGAAAAATTGGAAAGCCCTCAATGAAATGCATAGATGAAAAAAAAAAAAAAAGCATAGATGAAGTGGTTGCAGCAGTATTTTCTTCTGTTGTATCGTAGTACTATTATGAGCTGAAACTCTCACTAAAGCAACATTTACTGACCTTTTCAAGTGATGGATGTATTTTACCTACCTGTAGTGTTTATTTCCTAAATATAAAATCACTAAGAACATATTTAGGCATCTCTATGCTGCTACTGATTTATTTTAAAACACATTGCTGCAAGTAGAATCCATGGTAAAAGAGGTATGGGTATTTATAATGTTAGTATATGACAAATACCATTGGTAAACATTTCCATTTTTACTGGAAAATAAATTTGGGAGGTTGGTTGTTGGTTTAAGATACATAAATAAAAGTTAATCACTTTTCTTATATTTGTAGTATTGGAAAATTTTAAAAGTGCTCTCAAAGTAGTAAGTGCACAGATATAAAGAAAGGCTCATGTTAATATAAGAGTATAAAAAAGAAAATAAAAAGCCATGAATGATAAACATTTCAGTGTGGAGATGCTTTTTTACCAAACTGAAATTTTCTTTCCCCTAACTTTGTCTCTATACTTTGATAATATATGAAAGTAAGTTAAATTGAAGGAAGTATTTTAAGCAAAAGATGTAAATATTGCCTTTAGAGAGATGTATACACCTAGATGTGGAAGATTTATTGAGACTCAGTGCTTTGATTTTACCCTCTAAACTGAAACCCACTGCCTGTGAGTTGGTTCCAACTTAAGGAGACCCAAAGAGTAGAACAGAACTGTTCTGTATAGTGTTTGTCGTTGTAAATCTTTGAGACAGAAAGCCTCTCTTTTCATCTGCTGAGGACTGGTGGCTTGAACCAGTGGCCTATGCCGCCAGGGCTCCTTGTGTGGCACTGTGTGGGATAAGCAATGGGCTGCTAATCTCAATGGTGGTGGTTAAAACTCACTCGCTGCATCTTTAGAAAAAGCCAAGTCTTTTACCATCTCAGAAACCATTTATAGAATTGTTGTGACTCCAAATTGACACCATTGCAGTGGCTGTATTTTTATTTTAGACATTCTTAAAATTTGATTTTGGAACTAGCAGCCCCAGCATTCTTGTCTGGGTATTTTTCAGCAATGCAATTTTGGGCCTTATCCATTATCTGTTCAACTGTAGGATAGTAACTCAAACCAAACCAAACTCACGACTACAATGAGTTAGTTTTTTTACTCATAGTGGCCCTGTAGGACAATGTAGAGCTGACCCTGTGGGTCCCTGAGATTATAAATCTTTATATGAGTAGAAAGCCTTAATGATCTGTTTACATGGCAATTAACAGCCCAACATGTAACCCACTATCCCATTGGGGGGCACCTTAGGATAGGAAGTAACTTTTAATAAGACCCCCTCCAGATAATTCTGAGGAGAAAAATGAGGTTTTCCAGAGGCTTCCTACTCCTATAAAAAGTCAGCCTTAGAAACCCACAGGCACTTGTACCCTGTCCTATAGAGTTGCGATGGGTTGCAATCGACTTGATGGTGTGAGTTTAGTTTGGTTTTCGTGGGGGCTTTTTTGCTATATTTAGAAAACTATCACTTTACCTAGTTCCGCACAAGGAACTATCTACCTCTGTCACCGTTTTAAAGATTTCTTTTTCCCACTTCAATTTATAAATGAACATGTTTGAATCTTGTGTACTTTACAACCCCCCCCCCCAAAAAAAAATTGCTTCTTAGAAGTCAAAACCATATCGGAATTCATGTTTCTTCTTACTTATTTTTAGACTTGACAGCTAGACTTTTGAAAACGGTAAACTGCCTTTACCAATCCATAAAATCGTATAGGGGGATCCAAAATGTGCCCCCAAACTTGAATACACATGATATTGTAGCCACCCCGTGTGAACACAAGTGTATGGGCATGGAAAATAAATGATCTTACTAACTTTGGCTCTCGTATCTTAAATTATAGGGGTAAGGGCTAGAAGAATTTTACACAGTTCTTAAAAGGAATGGGAGGTGGAGGGTAAAAGTATTTTTAGGGTAACCATACTTTATCTCTTTTTAAAACATTTCCCTAATAATGGTTTTAGGTCTAAAGTTGTATTTTTCCCCATTATCTTTTATTTATTATTTTCTTTTACTGGAAACTATTCTGGTTTTATTTATATAAGTGCGTTTATTTCATTTGATGGTAATAGTTTTTTGATAGTAGTATTTACGCCCATTAGTTTGTATGAAGGGTCTTCATAAAGCTCACTGAAGGTGTATTCCTCACCAAGTAGAAAGAAAATGGTTTCAAAAGGGTGATGGCAACATATGTCCAAATGTGCTTGACATTTGGATGTTTGAATTGCTATCAGAGCTGTAAGAACCCCCGGTAAGATGATTTATTAAAATTTAAAGAAAAGAAGTGTAAACCAAGCAAATTTGCATGGATTTCACAAATTCTGAATCAAAATGAACTTAATACTTGCTGAAGTAAAGTACCTTGTTTAAAACATTTGAACAGAATCTAGCTTGAGGCACTAATTCAGATAAGATAACACTTTGAGTAGAGCTCCATTTATAGCAAAAACAATTCTGGTAAAATAGATACAAGAACAAGTATCAAATGTATTATGAAGGTTAGGTAGAAAGATGAAGTCTTAGATCTTTTACGCATTAGAACATTGTCCATAGGGACAAGATGATGTTCAAAATGAACCCTGCTGTAGAAGACAGTCCACGTCAATTTGAAAGTAACAAAAAGACAGTTGGCATGGTTAAATTCCTGGGACTCTCATTTCTTTAGAAGTGGATAAATGGCTATCAGGAATTCTGGCGGCGTAGTGGTTCCATGTTGGAATGCTAACTGTGAGGCCAGCAGTTTGCAATCACCTGGTACTCCCTGAGAGAAAGACAAGGCTTTCTACTCCCATAAAGTTAGTCTCTGAAAAGCACCGTCCTTTAAGGCTTGTTATGAGTCAACATGGCACTGAGTGAATTTAAATGGCTACCATCATAACTTACAGAAGTTTCTTGACTTTGAAGGAGCTTATGTTGAGACATAGTGTTCAATTTTTGTTTTTGAATTGTATTTCAGTGCCAATTTTTAAAATCTCTGTAGATTACATTGTTCCTTAGGTGATTAAGTTTGTAAAGCACATTAATTTTCCATTCAACCGTTTATACACAAGTTGTTTCATGATGTTGATTAGATTCTAGCCGATGTGTCAGCATTCTCCCCATTATACCTTGGGCTCTATCTATAATTTTGTTAGCCTTCTTTTTCTGCTACATCCTGTCTATTAAATGTGCTTTTAAGCAAATCTTACCCCTTTGGTCTTAAGTACTTAGTTGTTTCAAAAAGCATTCCTCACCTGTGGAAGAGCATTCATTTCACTGGCCTGCCATTTCTCTATCCTCTGGTAGTAGCTACACTTACAAGTTGAATGATATCTAGGGTCATAACTACAAGAGTTCATGCAGCCTTAGCCAACCAGCGAGTCTGGTCTTTTTTATTAATTGGAAACATTCTGGTACTATTTATTGTTATTAAAGATAGAACGATTGTATTAGCTGTGTACTGTTACCAGACGTTGTGCCTTGTATGATTCATTAGTTGAAAAGATAAATTTTATTTATTTATTTATTTTAATTTTTTTTGAAAAGATAAATTTTAAATGAATAAATGTGATGATGGACTGGAATCAACAGCTCAGTGATATCTAATATATATACATGGATAGATTAATATTAACCCACTGCCATTGAGTTACATAGCAATCTTAAAGGACAGAGTAGATCAATCTTAAAGGACAGAGTAGTGTTTCTGAAGCTAAATTCTCATGGGAGCCCACAGACTCATCTTTGGGTTTGTAGTAGCTGTTGGATTCAAACAGATGACTTTGTGCTTACCAAGCCAACTTGTAACCAACCTACTATGCCACCAGAGCTACTTAGGTAGAAATGTAAATGTGTCTAAAGGAATGTGTGATTTAGAATTCAGTCATTCATACTAAAAAGGGCCTCTAATCACTGTCACCCCAGTGGCAATCACACCCACATCTTGGTTTCTAAATGCTCTTCTTCAGATTAAAGGTGTTCTTGAAGAAGTGGATCCTTCCTGCATGGTGGTACCCATGGAGTATGTCAAAGGAACACAGTTTAGTTATTTTCAGTTGGAGTCTATACCTTTAGCTCTAGGTTCCGATATCCGTTGTAGTGGCTATACAGACTTCACAGACAAAGTTCACGATTAAAGGGTTTAGGAAGAAAGTTAACAGGATGGAAATGCAAGTGAGAAAAGTTCAGGATAGAGTTATTCATCAGGTCATGTTGTAAGTTCTTTCGCGGCTGACAACAGATGTCCAAAGGGCACACCACTCATATAACCCTCAACCCGAACTCATTCAACTCAAGCTCTGGGTTGGTGAGCAAACCCAGCTGCTTAAATTAAGTGCCTAGAGGCACCCTCCTCCAGTCAAAGGCACTCAGCTTCACTGGTGTTGGTCAGTGAGCCCAATTCCTAGAATTAAGTGCCCACAGGCATCTCCCCTCCACAATCTAGCCTTCTTTGCCTACAACACTCAGCTTTATTTGCTCCAAGGGCTAGGAAGTTCACACTCTTTTACCAATATCTGACCTTTGATTCTTTTGCTGCTTTTCTGATATTGTAGCTGCCTTCTGGATCCCGAGGTTCACTGTGCACGGAGCTTGGGTCTAGAGGACATGCTCTACTTCCTGGAACTTGCTGGTAGTAAATCCCTCTTCTTGTTTCTCAGAGGGCTCATTTCATACTCAGCAGGATGGTATTCCAGGGGATTCTGTTCTCAATAAGCCAGAGGTGAATCCTATCAGTATCTTCTCACCTTAGCAGACTCATGAGGATAAAAGTTGTTTGGTGGGAGTTAGAAACTTGGAGTAGAAGATTCACATTACATAGTTCACTGCCCACACACAGCAGAGGTTAATTCTGAACAAATGCATTTAAAGATGTCTGCGATCAGTGTTCGGTTGCAGAGAAGTTCTCACGGTGGTATATTTACTTTTCTGTGTATTTCTTTAAGAAAAAAATGCTTTCTGGCACATAAGGTTAGATAATGATTTTGAGTTCAAGACTAATAAAAATTTTAATAAAACCCCAAGTGGATATTTTCACAAATCAATTGAAAAGCTTTGCAATGAGTTCTGGGAATGTTGCTGTACCAAAAACAACAGTTTTTAGATGCATCGAATATTTTAACCTAGTTCAGGAAGATCTCAAAATGAGCCAAGTGGGAAAACCATCAATGTAAATAAATGAAGAAATTGGCTGATGTTTAGAGATTGGTGTAAGAAGACCACCGCAGCATTACGATTGATACCATATGAACTGAAGTTTGGGTGTCACACGGTGCAGCATTTTCAATTTTAAACAAATCTTTAGGAAACAAGTGTTACATGAAGATCAGTTGTCTAAAAGAACTGATGTTCCCATCAGTTTGAAGCTAAGATTGAATCTAATGAAGACAATTTTATTTAATGAGTTGTAACCATGGATAAATGTTGGATTTATCTGTAAGATTTAGAAAGCCGGCTGCAATCAAAACAGTTACTTCTTGGGGGTGGGTGGGGAGGTTGGGGTTGGTGACAGGCAGGGCAGAGAGACCACTGGGCCAGTTCGATTCAGTGCAGAGGGGTTGGCCTAGAGGGATATGCCTACTAGTTTTTGGGATTCAACAAGAGCATATTTTGAAAGATTTTTATTTGTAGGGTGGGGACGGGGACCCAGGAGGATTAAGAGGGCTTAATTGGAAGAAGTTTTCAGAAAATGGAAAACTGCAGTTAAAAAGTCAAGATAGATTCCCCCCACCCATTATGACAGTGTACCTGTTCCTACAGTGAGGGTAGCAGGAACTGTCCTAGAAGAATTTTGTTGGGAAACCTTACCACATCTCCACCCTAGAACTCTAATCTTACCTCTTCAGACTTGTTTCAAAAGTCAAAGAACTTTTAAAAGGAACCATGGTTTGCGTCCCAAGACTACCATTGTCAAGTAATGTAAATTGTAGAGCTGAGAAGTCATTGATGAAGGTTAAATGGAAACATACGTTTATAGATTCACATTTTCATATTTTTATTGAATAAAAGTTTCTTTGATTTTTAGCAATACTTTACAAAGTACTCTAGTATTGTAAAGTTTTTCCGATGAATGAGCCGTATGATTGGTGCCAACAACACTTTTAACTGTTACTTATCAGAGGCATATTTTTTTTCCAGAGGCATATTGTTATGAGCATATCATTTTTTCCAGATTTTACCAAAAATTTTGAGACATGAAAATTATTTGTAGATTTTCAAGAAAATTATGAAGTCCAAATTTTACATTTCCTATTTTATAAAGCAGAGAATGCTGTTCATGGATTTTTGTGATAATTTCATATAACCCAAACAAATACACAAGTAGTATTACATGTAACATTTTAAAGTTTTGGTTCTGAAGTTGCCATTTTTACATAATCACAATTGAGTTTAAAAGAAGGTAAAATTTTGGATTTTGTATGCATTGCTAATTGAATGGTCCAACCAGAGGGCACCTCAGAAGAGAGGTCTGGCAGTTACTTCTGAGAAATCAATCACTGAAAAGTAGGAGCTGACCCAGTGTTCACTAGGTGCTTTTTAAAAAAAATTCTTGGGAGAGGGTTGGAGTGTCTTTTAATGATATTTTAAATTTTTATTGTGAAGTGCCTTTTTAAACAAATCTGCCACAGTACAGATAAATTCAAGTCTTTTATAGGTCAAATCCATTCAGGTTTTTGAACTTAGAATTTTTTGCATATAAAATAAGTTTTCTTTGCTTGTATTTCACATTGTTAATGTATTTTGTTTGAAAATCTTTCAGACATGAAGAAGAGCATCGTCGACGTGAAGAAGAAATGATAAGACACAGAGAACAGGAAGAACTTAGACGACAGCAAGAGGGTTTTAAGCCAAACTATATGGAAAATGTAAGTAAAATACTGGCTGATTAATATGATGCTTATAATTCTTTGGAGTTTGGTTTTTATAGTGGTGCCTCCTAATTTTCTTATTTTGTTATGGATTTATTAAATTAATAGTTTTCTTAACCTGTTAACAGGTAGACCTTAAAGTTACTTTCTGAAAATGATAATCATATTTCAGGAAATAGATTTTTTATTTTTCTCCGTTACTAAAATAAGACCCTTGATAAATAAAACATCTCCACGATGTTATTTTTACAATTTATTAGCATTAAAACGTGTTTTTAGGTTGGAAGATTTCAGATACACAGAAGTGCATGTTTTTATCACACAATTATAACAGTTTTCAATACATTTCTGTCCTACCAAATTCACACATAATTTTTGAACAATAGTGTATTTTTGAGATTTCTTAATCATAAATAATTTCCTTTGAAAATAATTTTAGTTTGTATCTCTTAAAATGATTCTTAAAAAAAATTACTGTCCCAAGCCATCAACTCTTTAAAAAGTTGTTCAGGTTTTCTGAGGATGAAAGTTATATTTCAGAACACTGATAGATTTTTTGCTTTACCTTCAATCCTTAGAAAATGATAAAAAACATTCTTAGTTAAAAACTACATATTCAGTAAAAAGCACATATTCAGGTTTATAACTATTAAGTTTGAGATTCAGTTAAGTTTTAAAACTATAACTGAATGTCGTTTATTTTAAAGCATGATAAATTTTTGTTGAGTTTCATCTATCATTTTGTAATTTTCCTATCTCCCTGGGATGAATAGCATTTGCTTTGTGGCATATTTTAGTTTTTCTGGTGGTTAATCTTTTAATAAATCTATATTGGATTATCAATGCAAGAGTATTTTGACTACGAAATAATAAAATTACAGTGAAATTAAAACTGTTTATTCAAGCAACTAGTCTATATGCAAATACAGAAACAACCTGATCAGTAATAAGCTAGTTGTAATGAAGCATGTAGCAAGAAGGGGAGGGAGGGTAGAAAACCAACCATAGGCTAATCTTAATATGATTGGTCATGTCTTGCTTAACCTGCCCTGTTTTACCCCTACCCAGCACCAGGTTTATTAGAACAAATCTTTAAATGCAATCAGGAGATATTTTAAATGAGAAAAGGTACCACCTCTCAGGAAAAACAACCACTGCACTAGTTTATGGATAAGAAATGATTGTCACAAAAGTGTTTTGCAATAATTTAATTACCAAGCTAAAAAAAACCTTCAATTTCCTGATCAGTAGTCAAACTCACTGCCATAATGTTGTTTCTGAGTTGTAACAACTCTGTAGAAGGGCAGAGAACTTCCCCTTTGGGTTTCTGGGACTGTAACTCTTTAAAGGAATAGAAAACCTTGTAATTTACTAAGCCACTAGGGCCACCGCTCTTAGGTTGATGGGCAGTGTGTAAGGATATTGCTATATAGCTTAGCCATTCCTTGAAAAACATATTAATAGTTTTAAAATTGGGGGGGGGGAGGTATATTACTTATTGTGCCTTAGAAAAGTGAAATTCAAATTTTCCCAAGCATGTTTTGAAAATTAGTAACTGTTATCTTTATCAGCTATAATCATATGTAACCTATAGATAATATTAGCTATAGAGAACATTTCTTGGGAATACTTTTATTTCTATTGAGGACCTGGAAATTTTATCTAATCCTTTATGTAACTGAATTTTTTTATTGAAGTATTTTGCTTAAAGTTAGTGGAATTAGCATGTTTTATGTATTTGAAGTAAATATGATGGTGAAAAACTAAATTTTGGAAGCATGGCTACAGTTCGCACCATGCCTGTTCTCATCTTAATTTACCAGCATTTGAAAAATTTCATTTTAATGATGATGAAATTATGTAACTGTCCACTGAATGGCTAATTAGATAATTACTGTCATTTCAAAAATAACTGTGCATTGCTTTATTAGATTTTGCTTGGAGAATGGATAAGATTAGTACATACTTAAATATTAGGAAGCCTGGTTGCCATGTTGTTAGTTAAAAAGACATATCACCTATGTGAAAGCTCCTAAAGTTAATTTGGCTAATGCAGGATGTGTAAATACCAATCAAAATTCCTATTTCGCCTTTACATACAGCTCACAATGATCTTTATATTTTTAAAAGGGTGATGAAAATTTTAAGGAAGAATGTTAATGTTAGCAGTTACTTTGGACGCACAAAATTAAACAGCTATATAATAGGTTATGAAAATTTGTGTAACAACTGAAGTAAATATGTAGGGCTGAAACTAGTAATCCATTTTGATCTTTTTTACAAAGGAGAAAGAAAATAATGAATAAGCTTAGTTTTTCATATTTTTTGGTGTCAATTTAGATTCAGAATACTTATTAAATGAATGGAGTTCATACTAAAGGAAATGCAGTTAGCCCTTGAACAACATGGGTTTTTGAAGTGTGTAGGCCCCCCAAACAGGTTTGTGTTTATTCACCATTTGATGGCAGTATTTTTTGTCTCTGGTTTCCTGTTTTATCCATTGTGTTTGTTGCAAATACCATAAGCCTTGAATGGGACTAATGATGTTGGGGGAATGCTCCTTTGAAGTAAAGTCCTGACCTACCAAGAAAAAGTTGAATTGCTGGATGTGTCCCATAGATTGTGTACCATAGCAGCTCTTTTTTGACTGCTGTTTGATGATAGGGAATCCAGTGTATAGGACTGTTTTAAAGACAGAAAAGGAAATATTTGCAGCCATTGCTGTAATTACACTAGCAGGCGTGTGAACTTTGCCTTTTGTTGTTGTTGGGGCAAAGTACTTTTTTTGCTCCTGAAAATTGGGTGAAGTATATAATACTATAACAAAATATATGCTAATCTACTGTGTTATCAGCCAGTTTTTAGGCAACTGGTAACAACCTTAGTTAAATTTTTGGAGTCAAGACATTATACACAGGGGCACCTAACTCTGATGTTGTTCAAGGGTCAACTTTATTAACAAAAGCTCTTTGCAAATTTTGTCTGTTTGTGTTAATAAAAAAAGAATCGCAATTGTTTATGAGTTGCTTTGGAAACTATTTTGAAAGAAATTGTTAAATAATTTTGTTTGTTTTTGTATATAAAAGCTTCCAAATTAGGCTTTCTTATATATATATTCTCTTTTTTCACTGTACAGTTTAAAGGGAGCAATCAAATGGTAAGTGTTCAGCTTGTCCAAGAATAAATCAAGACTAGATTCTCTTCGTTTGTTTTAAGATGCTACCTTCGATTTTCCTCTCTAATATTCCTATAGTATTGTAATGCAACTGAGTATGCTTGATGTAAGATAACTTATTTGTTTCATCTTTATTGTGATTTTTTTAAAAAATATGAGGGAAGACATTTGGTTATTTTTCTTTACTATCCATTCTCAGCTGTCATAATTTTTTGCATAAATCTAACCATTTTTAAGAGTTTATAGGATGTAAGTGAGCACTTCTATCAATTACAAGTTATGATTTTTACTATATATTGGAACTTTTTCTGATAACAGCTGTTGTAACTTTAAATGACCACATTTTTCACTTCTAAAAAGTCATGATATTTAAGTTTATGTTGTGTGTATTTGACCTCTTTCTCAGTAATAATTTACTAGGTTGCAATATTAGATTTATCACCACTTTTTAGCCTTTGGACACAGTATATGTGGCTACTCTGGAAAGAGAATTTTATAAGATTATCTTGATTGAGTCACTTTCTGTAGACTACGTTTAAACACAGAAGTACTGCACTGTTATATATCCTCTTTGTGTAAATAATTTGAATTTAAGTAAAGGATAGATAGTATTCAGATTAATTTTGCTGACCCAATTTCTCTGTTAACTTGTGGTATTATTTTATAAAATCATCCAAACATCAAATTTATGTCAACCTTTAACAGGCACATCGTGTAGTTATAAAATATGTTGTCATGAAAGTGTTTCAATTGAATGTTTACTGGTTTTATGAGAGGCTTTTTATTCCATCCTTGGAATGGTAAATATTAATGTTTTCTTTTCAATAAGGAATGGCTCTTTAGATCTGTTATTTATATTTTGTGCTAAAATAAATCTATATGCGTTAGTATGAATTATATAAGATTATGTTTTAAATTACTGTATATGCTCGAGTATAAGCTGACCCGAATATCAGCCACGGCACCTAATTTTACCACAAAAACTGCATTAAAAATGTGCTGAAGAACTCAGCTTATACATGAGTATATACGGTATCTTGATTACTGCATACTGTAGACTAAGTAGTTTGAACACTTGAGATCAATTCTTCAGAAAACTGAATTTATTAGGTCTGGATCGGTTTCAAGGGGTTTGCATTAGTATAACTTCATGGGCTATTTATTATTCTGTTAGCAAAGTTGGTTGAAAACCAACTTTAGAAGTTTAAGGATAGACATTTCTTATTGACTGAGTTTGAATCGAGGGATGTAGTGTTGTAAAACATGAGTTTTGGATTTCCATAAGATACCATGTAAATAGCACAGTATTATATCTTTGTGGTACCTGTGGAATTTTGTTGTGACATCCTTGATTTGGGCTCTCGGCTATAAAGGGGGCTTCAAAAAGTTGATGGGAAAATGGTATTTAAATTTAAAATGTGATTTTTTTTTTCCCCACAACATTTTGAAGCCACCTCATATTTATGTGGTGGGATTTTGCCTCAAATAATTCATTAATTTTAATTTTTTAATGGTTTCCTTTAGACTACAAGTTGAGACACTAGGGTGGCCCATGCCAAATTCACTTGCCACACCTACATTTGTAAATAAAGTTTTAGAGCACAGCTGTTCATTATTTGATTATATAGTGTGTTTGCATTTTTTTGCTTTAGCAATTGAGTTGAATATCACACAATATGAAACTATATTGAGAATCTATGGCCTACGTTACCACTTGGCCTATAATGGAAAAACCTTGCTGACCCCTGAAAGAGAGCCAACATGAGAATAGAAATCTATTGTGCATTGTAATGTAATTCTATTAATTTATATGTTCTTTTCCAGTGTTTTTAGAGGGCTCATTATGCAAAGCACCTCATATCCTAGATCCAAGGTTCCTGAAGAATTCAGATATTGTCTATAAGGTTCATTGGTAGTCATGGTTAAAAATAAGAGTAAAAATATGAAAAGACTTGATAATGCATCACTGCTCCACATGGGTACTTTGCAGTTTTCTTTTTTGGTTCTAGTCAGTAGATGCAAAAAGTTCTTTCAGTTCCTTCCTCTTACCAGCATTGACAAACTTGATTTCTTTCTTCAACCATCCACTTTATGTTCATCCTGCCTTTTTTATGGTTCTTGTTTCCTCCCTTTAGTTTAATTATAACTGAATTTCCCTAGTGTGACACTTAGAAAACCAAAAGTATTTAGCTCTAACAGGGACTTTGCTGCAGTAGAAGATTATTTTTTGGCAAGTATAAACATATGATGTATTCAAATAGAGGATTTGTTTTTATGGACTCAACAATTATGTGCAAGTAACTTGAGTATTTATTGGTTGTAGCATTTAGTATCGAATTTAGGTATGACCTGCTGCATAATTTCTTATTGTTGCTACAATGGTGATTTAATCCTGATGGTTTGAACATGTTGGAGAAACTAAAAATGGACTGTAACATTGATACTGCTGTGATCTCAACAGTATAATGCTCTTTGTTTTCATCTATCTGTTAATTTCTGATTATCTAGCAATAAATCATGGACTTTCCTGAATACTTGAAATACAATATCATTGAAAGTTGACTTGGATGTTTTTGTTCAAATGATAGCAATGACATAAGTTTCTAATCTTTATATGTGTTCTTAAAAATGATTGCTTAAAGACTTTGATAAATTGGGGGTTATTTCAGTTGGAAGTATATGTCAATTAATTCCTCTAAAAGGGTTCAACCATGTGGTGTGAAAACCTAAACTTTATGAGTGAAACTGGGGTAAGTCAAGACGTATACTATATAAAATTGCGTCTTTTCTTATTTCAGGGAAACAGTAATCATGCTATGATTGTAAGCAGCGATTTTCTTTGATCTGTTTTAGCATTTTTATTAAGTCCAGATTAAAATGATACTTTATACAAAGATTTGTTAGAAGACACTTCATTATTTTTAATTATTTGTGTCTTACTAGAGTACTCCTAGTAGTCCCCAGGTACCCCCGCCCCACTAAGATTTTTCAGAGTTCCATAATCCAGAAACTTTTTCTTAACCTCCTTTTCCCTTCCTGGAGAATGTGTTTGCAACTTTTACCTATAGGGCACTTCCACTGTCTTCTTCATCCTGCTCTGATCTTCTGCCACTTGTATTATGTAATACAGATTTCATATTAATTTCTGACTCTTGACTACTCTCATGCTCTCTGAGCCTTTTAAGTTTAGAAATTTTGTTGAAAGAACTTTCATTTCTATAGTATGTAGATAGGTATTGAGTTAATTACTATGTGTTATATCGAAATTACTTAAAACACAGCTGAAAGTTCCGTAACATAATAATCATGTTTTTCAAACACGAGTACAACTTCCGTCATGGTCTTTAACATTCAATATTATCTTGAGATTTATTGAATACTAATGTCTCAGACGTTAAACATTTGTTAGCTTTGAAACATAGGTGGTGACAAATAACCAACAATTATTTGTGCTTGTTTTCAGCAACTTTTTAATAGGTGGGTTCTACTTGAATATTTGACTTACAGGAAGACTTGGAGATTTCAGTTTATTTAAAAAACATTGTTTATTGTTTCCTATGTACTAAACACAGGACTGAGCACCATAGAGAATACAAGGCTGAATCAAACCAGGTTCTTGTTGAGGATTTTGAAGTATTTTAGGTACATAGAGTATGACTAAGTGGCTTAGCTAAAAAGTTTTTGAGATTTGGGTTGGAGGGTGAGTGATAAACTCTTTGTACACGTACCAGCACTGTCATTGAGTAGTTCTAGCACTGTTGTGGAACAATTATTTGGGGGTTTATTTTAACCCCCAATAATAATTTTAAAATTATTTGTTAACCATTCATTCTACCATGTTAATAGCTTTCCTTCATATCTTTGCATTTGATTGGTAAGTTTTTCTAATATTTTCTTGATACAGCTTGATATGACTTTGCAAGGTGGGCAATGGTCAACTTCTAATTTGAAATTTTAATACATTAATATAATAAATAAGAGTTGATTAATAAATGTTTTGAACTAAAAAGAGATCCAAAGCAGGCATAAAAGCTTGAATTGTTATTTATATGTTGTGATTTTTAAAAATGTGTTCAGAGGAATTCTATTTAAAAACATTAAAACAATCAGTATCTTCTGTACACTCTAGAAAGTATGAGCAGTTAGAATTTTATATTCAATGAAACTGGTTAAGTATAAGTAAATACCCATTAGTTAGCAGTGGTAATGGGAGCCATTTGAATTTGTAAACAAGCTCTGCTGATGAAATTCATGTTCAAGGTTCATAAATAATAAAGTTGTACATATTAGTTTTTTTTTTTTTCAAATAATGAAAATATGTAGATAAGTTGTTTTATGATAACCTTGTGTGGCAGGTTTTATATTCTGCCTCTTCTGGAATTACCATAGTTTTCAGGAACATTTTTTCGTTTGAAATATTAACGGTAAAAAAAATTTGCCTTTAAACATTGGATATGCTTGCATTTGTTAATGACGTGTTTTATTGTAGGATGGCTTAAATATAAAAATTATCTCCACTTTGAGGTAATTTCTTAGCAAAATAGGTTTTATAAAAATTTTAAGCTTTCTGGTAGACTTCAAGATAATGGTGTTCACTAAAATATATAATTCTTACACACTCATACATGTTACATATAAAATGTATACATGCACATACCTTGTTTGCGGCTTTCACTCCTTTTAGTTAGGCCAATTAAAAAAATCGTTTTATTGGCACTTCATCCATGTATCATACAATTCAATAGTTCAATCATATCAAGAAAAGTTCTACAATCATTGTCACAGTCAATTTTAGAAGATTTTATTCTTCCTTGTACTTGTATGCATGTAACTTTTTAATTTCGGCAAAAACATTCTATTTCAACAAATTCTACATGTATGATTCAGTGCCATTGATGATAATCTTTGTGCTGTACAACCATTATTGATGTCCTTCTCCAAATTGTTCCACCACCATTAAAATGAACTCAATAGCTCCCCAA